GTGGTGTGATCTCGGCTCACTGCAGCCTCTGCCTCCCGGGCTCAAGCAATTCTCCTGCGTCAGCCTCCCAAGTAGCTGAGATTACAGGCGCCCGCCATGACGCTCAGCTAATTTTTTTTTTTATTTTTAGTAAAGATGGGGTTTCACCATGTTGGCCAGGCTGGTCTTGAACTTCTGATTTCAGGTGATCCACCCACTTCAGCATCCCAAAGTGCTGGGATAGGTGACAGCCACTGTGCCCGGCCATGACCAAAATCTTGAACATAGCTTCAAAAGCCTGCATGATTCGGCCCCAGCCTACCTTTCTACTTCATTCTGAACTCGTATTACACATTTTCATTTTTAAAATTATGAAAATGTTTACTTATATTAAAAAAATAACAAACCCCTATACAATCAGTTTCAGTAATAAGCAAAATTATGCTACACTGCATCTCTAAAAAAAAATAGGTATATCTTATTTATTTTCACTTACTTTTATCTAGTACAGGTTAACCTAGCCTCTAGGTAAGGTTGTGAATTCAAAACCCAGCCTTGCTATTCCTTTGGATTTCTTTGTCCTGGAAATTGGGAGTAATAACAGTACATCTCTTATGTCGTTGTGAGGAATAAGTGAATTCATTGATTTAAAATGCTTAGACCAGTCAGGTGTGGTGGCTCACGCCTGTAATCCTAGCACTTTGGGAGGCTGAGGCAGGCAATCACTTAAGGTTAGGAGTTCAAGACCAGCCTGGTCAACATGGTGAAACCCCGTCTCTACGAAAAATACAACAATTAACTGGGCACTGGCTGAGTGCAGTGGCTCACACCTGTAATCCCCAGCACTTTGGGAGGCTGAGGTGGGCGGATCATGAAGTCAGGAGATTGAGACCATCCTGGCTAACACAGTGAAATCCCGTCTCTACTAAAAATACAAAGAAAAATTTAGCCGGGCGTGGTGGCAGGTGCCTATAGTCCCAGCTACTCGGGAGGCTGAGGCTGGAGGATGGCGTGAACCCAGTAGTCAGAGCTTGCAGTAAGCCGAGATCGTGCCACTGCACTCCAACCTGGGTGACAGAGGGAGACTCTGTTTAAAAAAAAAAAAAAAAAAAAAAAAATTAGCTGGGCATGGTGGCGCGCGCCTATAATCCCAGCTACTCGGAGGCTGAGGCAGGAGAATCGCTTGAACCCAGGAGGTGGAAGTTGTAGTGAGCCGAGATCGTGCCACTGCACTCTGATACTCCATCCCAAAAAAATAAAATAAGATAAAACATAAATAAAATGCTTAGACCAATGTTTGCTATCCTTAATAAATGAAGTCATTATCATTTAGAACAAATTACACATCTTCCTACCTCAGAGCCTTTGTACAGCCTACAAACACTATCCTCTTTTCCCCTTCCAGAACTTCCAGACTTCCAGTTCAAATGTTACACTTTCAGGGAAGACTTCCTTAACCTCCCCAGATTAAGCTATCTTATCTTAATATACTCCATGAACTTCTTATCTTAATATACTCTATACTTACTTGAAATGATTAATTTGTGTGGCTGATTAACATGTCTTTTCCATGACACTATAAGCAAGCTCCAGGAAGGAAGATGGTAACTGTTTGGCTGCTCTGTCACCAGCACCCAGTACAAAGTAGACGCTCAAAACATTTATTCAAAAAATAAGAACTAATTTATTTTCACCTAACTTGTTTTTGATCAAATCTTCTGTTACCATGTATAAAGCTAATTATGATTATGTAATAATATATTCTCTAACAGGTTTGAACAACTTGTTTTCAGTTAAGGGGTTAAAAACACTGGAAATTAATAACAATAATTTCTAACTTACAGAATAGTTAAACATTTTTTACGGAGACAATTTTTTTAAAGACACGAAGGTCTTGCTTTGTGGCTCAGGCTGGATTTGAACTCCTGGGCTCAAGTGATCCTCCCACCTCAGCCTCCCAAGTAGCTGGGTTTACAGATGTGCGTCACCATGCTGAGCTCCAAGAGTACTTTCTTGCACATATATATATATATTTTTTTGAGACGGAAGTCTCGCTCTGTCGCCCAGGCTGGAATGCAGTGGCGTGCTCTCTGCTCACTGCAAGCTCCACCTCCCAGGTTCATGCCATTCTCCTGCTTCAGCTAGCTGGGACTACAGGCGACCGACACCACGCCTGGCTAATTTTTTGTATTTTTTAGTAGAGATGGGGTTTCACCGTATTAGCTAGGATGGTCTCGATCTGCTGACCTCGTGATCCGCCTGCCTCAGCCTCCCAAAGTGCTGGGATTACAGGCATGAGCCACTGCAACCAACTGGCGCACAGATTTCTTTAGAAGAAAAAAAAAATGCTTCTAGGTATAAACTTTGTCTATTGCAGTTTAATTCTAAAATAAAAGATAATTGAGTGGAAGTTGAGGGTTTAATCTAGCAGTTAAGTGGTTCAGATATAAACAGAAGGAAAAGTCTCAAGATAACGTTTCGATCCACTTTCATATTTTTACACAATCGCTACTTGTATATGAGGAATTAGGGGATTTGCTAACCTTTCAAAAGATTAGTATCACTAAATTTGCTTTTTTCTAGAAGAATCCACTTGTATAAAAATATTTGTAATTTTTTCACAATGGTTATTTTCATCATGATTAAAGAAAAATTCTCCTTATTAAACTTCATTTCCCTAAGACACTGGTCACATATTTTCAAGTTTCTGAATCATATATATACCCAACTATTAATAAAATGTAAAAAAAACAAACCTCAAATCAATTTTAAAAGCATCTTCTATCGAAGGTCAGTTCACAAAAACCCCCAATAGTTGAAACTATGTCTTCTGACGGGTAGCATTTATAAGGAAGTTTAGAAAGCCAGTCCAGGAGAGAAAGAGGATATGGTCAAATTCTACAGTAATGCTGTGTTCTGCACATTAGCCTATTAGAGACTCCAAGAAGTCCCATGAGGAGACCTGCTTAAACTGTTTTCTAAATTTAAATGACCACATAATTATCTATGAAAACAAAGTTATCAAACACACTTTGAAAATTCATGGTCTATCTGCATTCTACCGATTAACTGGTCCAGAATCCCGTTAAAAATATTAAACAGGCTGGGCACGGTGGCTCACGCCTGTAGTCCCAGCACTTTAGGAGGCTGAGGCAGTTGGATCACTTGAACCCAGGAGTTCGGGACCAGCCTGGGCAACATGATGAAACCTGGTCTCTACAAAAAAAAAAACCAAAAAAACAAAACACACACACACACACAAAACATTAGCTAGGTGTGGTGCCACACACCTGTAGTCCCAGCTACTCAGGAGGCTAAGGCAAGACAATTGCTTGAGCCCAGGAGTTTGAGGCTGCAGTGAGCCAAGATCATGCCACTGCGCTTCAGCCTGGGTGACACAGCAGGATCTGGTCTTAAAAAACAAACAAACAAACTATATATATATATACACACACACACACACACACACACACATATATATATATATATACACACACACACACACATATATATATATATATATGAGACAAACTTGCTGTTAGTGGTCCCATGATATGATCCTGGTGACCCCTGCTTTAGGAGTTCATAAACCAGTCTTTTGATAATTCATCTTAGAGTCTTATCAAGAACTACTTTATAATTTGCAGAATCTACTTTTTCCCTTTGAAAATCAGGACATTTGCTAGTCTCTAACCTATGAGTAGTTTAATATAGGTTGAGCATCTCAAACCTGAACATCTGAAACATTTTGAGCACTGATATGACACAAAAGAAATGCTCCTTGGAGCATTTCAGATTTCAGATTTGGAATGCTCAACAGTATGAATACAAGCACTCTAAAATACAAAAAAATCTGAAACACCTCTGGTCTGAAGCATTTCAGGTAAGACATACTCCGCCTGTACTTTAATTCCTCAAGGCTTAGTAACAGCACGACCTCATCAATCAGGTTCTCAATGGGAATTTGGGGGAAGCACTTAAAAGCTTTATCTTTAAGCACTGGTGAGAAGAAAACGCAGACAAGCCTCACTACCTTTGGGACCAGCAACAAGAAAGCCACCAGAGACAAATACTGATCCTTTCAAATCAGTGGCTTGCCACAAGGAGGTGTGCACCAGAAATAACTGGGAAATTCTTACAGTTTATAAAGCTCCTTGGATGATTTTAATACATGTTTAGATAAAAATCCTAGTTTTGTGGCATGCACCTGTAGTCCCAGCTACTTAGGAAGCTGAAGTGGGAGAATCGCTTGAGCCAGGGAGGTGGAAGTTGCAGTGAACCAAGATCGTGCCACTGTACTCTAGCCTGGGTGATAGAGTGAGACCCTGTCTCAAAAAAGAAAGAAAAACACACCTATTTTTGGGTACCATCCTTCTCACTGTAATCATGTCCACTAAGGACAATTTAACCGTAATCATTTGTAATACAGACCTCTATGCTTGTAACTTTTATGAGTATTTTAGGCCATGAGTCGATGGTATTTTTCTCTAAGTACACTGTACTCTGGTTTCCTTAATAGTATTTTAGGAAACTCTAGCATTATTCTTTGATCTGGCTTCTAAGAATTAAGATGGTAGGGCTGGGCTACTTTCCCCCATAATTCACATTGCTTTCACTTAACCAACCAATTCTCCCTCTACAGGTAGTAAGTTTTGGAATAGCAGTTTTCATAACCCTTTTTCTTCTTCCTGAGTAGGAAATGACAAATGTACCAGAAATCCCTGTTGGAGTATTTTAGCACATTTCTTAGTAGATAGAGTCTGGTTTTGCCTCTCTGTACTTGGTGGTCTTCAACTATTTACTTACATCCACTTGACTAAACAGCCTGTAGTTCACCTTAACAATAATCTCCCTCTTCTTTTGTCCTTAGAGTGATCTAAAGAGCAGCCTTGTTATCTGTATCTCTTCTAGACAAACAGCACTACACTGAGTCATGAGTTGTTTCTTCTGACCAAGTTATTCCCTTCCATTGTTATATTCCAGTCGCTTTGCTCCACCAAACTCTTGGTCATATTATATATTAAAATATGTTCTTTATTATTCCTGTTCAGTGAATTGTCTGAGATTTTAAGTACAATTATTGATTTTGGGGAAATTAAACCTACTCTTCTTACATTGTCTTACAGTTTTCAGAGATCTTTTTTTTTTTTAAATAAAAATTATTGAATTCATTTTGGTAGCTTAAAACAAGATGTAATTTAGAGAATCATTTATGCTTTCAAATAAAACCTCCTACATTTAATTGACTAAAAGTTTAAGCACAAGTTACTACACAAAGAAAAGCTGTTTTAGGGTTATGTGAACTTGAAATAACACCATTGTTTTCAGCTGTCTGAAAGTAGTACAGCAACATTAAAGGGAAGAGACTAAACACCACCTCTGCTCCTAAACTAACAAGAACTGAGACACATACAAATTTTATGGCAAGTAATCTAAAACTCTTCTAAAAATGATTAACTGTTATTCTATCCAACAAGAAAACCAATACAACAGATCTATCTAATTAGTTAAGACACCAGATACTCGTCATGCAGTTTCAGTGTCAAGTAACAAACCTCTATAAGTTGTTTCACAACTTCTAAGTACTCATAACACATTTTAAAAGGCTGATCCCACTTTAAACTACATAGAGTACACAATTATCAAGTGAATGTGCATATACACCAAAGATTCTCAAGTCTAATTTTGAAGCTCAACCTGGCAGCCTCCAAAGATTTCAATATATTGCAATGTCACTAGCATAACTTCCAAAAATAAAATTTCACATGGGGTGGGAAAAATACCATCAAATAGCTGAGTATTCTACCTCTAGAAAGCTGACATACATTAATCTATATTTTTCATGTTAAAATGTGATTGACTTGAGTTGGTACAAGGGATAAATTATATTTTTATCTTATCAAACATTATCTAAGGGTGCAAAATGTAACCATTACAAATTAACACAAAAGTAGGCATTTTAGAATAGTTTTTCAGTACCTTCAGATTCTGACAAAATATAGTGCATTAAAAAAATTATGTGTGCCAATTTTGCTTATTGCTATTAGGTTTTTTAAAAAAACTTCAATTTTTTATCCCAGTTTTATTAGAAATTGAAAAGCATTTTGCCATGTTCAGAAAATAACAAAATTAAACTTGTTTTTCCTATCTGAGCTAATTAAGATATCTGAGCTAATAGCTCTAAGTTACTACTATAAAGAGATAATCAGAAATATAGTTCAAAGTAACAAACTACAATTGATAATCACTAATGGTGATCTTTCTTTCATTTTAATATTTCTCTTATTGAGACTCTATTGTGTCTCAATAGATATTTTTTGGTTGTTAACATTCCCATTCACCCTGAAGACACCCATGGGACTTTATTAAATTCAAGAAAATACCCTAAGATATTGATTGCAATGTCAGAGGTGGCCAAATTAAAAATAAAGTAATTGCTGATGATTAGGCCTTCTTTTTATTCTCAACTATTTTTGATATATGTATTTAAAAACTCAATATTTAACAAAAAATGACTATGTTTCAAGTTTCAAAGTTCATTTGAAAGAAGTATATATCATTTCATTTGAAAAATAAGGAAGTTTCTGCAGATATATGTAAGATCCCTATATGTGCTATAAATCTGTCATGGAAACCATCAAATTTTAGTACTTTTAAAGGGGAATTCAAAGATTTTTCCTGTATTATGCAATTGAGTACAGTAATTTTACATGTAAAAAATAATTTACACTGAAAAACTCAAGCAAAAAGTCTGATACTTTATCAAAATAATAAGAACAAAATGAGCAATGAAAAAATAGCAAAAGTTTACCAAAAAATAGTAAATTCCTATTTAAATTCCTGTGTTTACACAGATTAAAAATGCTTATTAACTGTATGACACAGATTGTAGCATACTTCAAGCTGTAATATAAACACGGGATATTTGAAATTCAAGCTGCACTTACTAAAATAGTTTTAACCTGAGTCTTTGATGTCTTCAAAAATGCATTTGATGATAATATATGCAAGAATAGTTATTTTGTAGTAGAAGGTTACTTTTTTTGAATTGCTCTTAATACTCTTTCCTCTTAAATATCTGTGTAAAATTACAAATATTTATTACATTTCTTGGGTTCACTGAACACAAGGCAGTGTCTGAATTGAAAGGCTGTTACTTTGTTCCTGTTATACAAGCATATAAAGATGCTTAGTTCAAAATATCTTAGATTTAATATTATTTTCACATTTTGACTTATTTTAGAACAAATATAAAGGGTCAAAATATTACCATAGATATCTGAATATTCCCATGAAATATGTCACACCCACTGAGGAATTAAACAAGTTCACTAAAGAATATCAAATTAATCATTTCCTCCTATAAATATTTTCTTTTTATTTGTGTTTAGAAGTTGCAATTTTAGGTACTATTAACAGAAAATACATAACAAAAGCTTCCTAACAAGTGAAAAAAATAATTATAAATGTTGGAAAAATTGGCCTCATTAACATATTTACAGACTTTTACTTAATACATACGCCTTTGGAAATTAATTATGTGACATTTATACAAGCATCAAAATTTCCAAATCACTGAGTAGTGAGCACTTCAGTTCTTTACTGTCTACACCCAAATTTGAAAGTCATTTTTAGTTTTTGAAGGTAGAACTGACAAGTAACAGAAATGGTCAATCTGAGATACTATTGACATATTGTTCTATTCCTTCGCCTAAAGGTGCTTCTGTTGAGTAAGTGTCCTTATGCTTTTTTTTCTCTTTGCTCTGATCTTCCTGTAGCTTCAGAATTATGTTTCGGATTTCTTCTCTTTTTGTTCTCATTCTTGGTGGAGGAAACCAGTTTGCCAAATTCATAGGTAGTTCAAAATTGAGAATTGGATTCTGAAAATAAAACAATTAAATGCATATTAGAAAACTGTAATAAATAACCTTTCATTTCAATCACAGAAACATTCCAAAGTTAAAAATAAGAAAACCCAGCAACTCATTCAATATGTATTTGTGTATTATCTATCACAGGTCAAGTACTGTGCTAGGTACTGGAGATACAACACACAGTTTCTGTCACAGATCTTACAGTCTAGATCAGGGTTTGCCAGTGGACCAAATTCTGCCCACTGCCTGTTTCTGTAATAAAGTTTTATTGGAATACAGTCACACTAACTCATTTACATACGGTCTACAGATGCTTTCACTGGACAACAGAACTAAGAGGCAATAGAGACCGTACAGTTGCAAAGTCTAACGTATTTACTACTTTATTAACGAGTTTGCTAGCTCCAGTTTAGAAAGACAGGTAATTCAACAATTAAAACAAGAAATATGGCAAGTATTATGACAGAAGCATAGAGTACTGTGAAAATACATATCTGGGGGTTTTATGCAATTCCAAGAGGAAGTGATATTTAGGCTAAGACCTGAAGAAAGAATATATGTTAGACAGCCAAGGTATGATAGAAGCAACAAAAGAATATTCCAGGTTAGGAAATATGAATCAAGGCCCAGAGGCAAAAAAGAACACCAAACAATGGCACTCAGGTGGCTGGCTGTTATATTAAATGCTAGAGTGAAAATGGTGGGAAAATGAGGCTAGAAGCTTAAATTAGGGGTCATATCACATAGGTATTTATCAATCATGTGAAAGATTTTGCTCTGTAAATCAACAGCCACAGGAAGCCACTATAAGATTTAAAGTAGGAAAAGAACAGGATTAGATTTATGTTTTTGTAAAACAACCATGAAAAACAGAAGGCAGGAGGCACAGGAATCTGTTAGAGATTGGTATAGCAGTTCAGAATAGTGACACTTGAGGACAAAGAAGTAAACCTATCTGACATTAAGTGACAATTCACAGAACCTAGTGGTCATCCACTGTATGATGGATGAAGATAGGAGTCAAGATCACTATAAAGAATATCCAAGAGAGGTATGTGTGGTACTGTACCTCTGAAGTCAAAGCCAAGAGAGTGAGGAAGAAATGGTTGACACTGTCGAAGGGTGCTGGAAAGTCAAAAACAATTTTAACATAAGGGTAAGGATGAAGCCAGATTTTAGAGATTACAAAGGTGGAATCTGTAGAATTAGAGTGTGAATATAAACACTTCTTAAGAAATATATCTATGAAGAGGAGAAAAGAGGCTAAAAGAGGCAGTGTGAATCATGGGAGAGATTTCTTAAGGTGGAAAGAGCTAGTAGAGAGGGCAGGTTGATTGTTCAGTGATAGAATGAGCTCAACAAGCCTTGGATTTGATGAACTGTAAATATACTATTTTTATGCCTTGAAGGTTCTTCCATTTAGAAGTTTTTGCTCCATGGAACAATTTTTGAAACAATAATTTTGAAACTCTGAAATATTTGCTTATTGTGTTTTTTTACTAAGGTAAAGTCAAATGCACTATTTTATTATTTATTATATCAGATCCAACAAATTGAAACCCACCTCAAAAAAGCTCTCTACATACTGCAATACATATACACCACAGTCACTGAAGTTGTTCTGCTGTGGTACTTTTGGATTAGAGCCCTTCATAACATCTTTGGAAAAACTTCTTTTGCTTCCTTTTTTAACTTCCCATTCCACTTCTAAATACCTGCAATAATTCATATATATTAAGAATACACATATATAAAAATATACATAGTTCTTCACCCCATCAGAATACAAAATAAAGTGTGAACTTACTCTCTTAAAATTTTGACAACATTTGACCGAGAAGGGCCTCGGAGTGAGTCCATAAGTAAGATACAAGGTCTGCAGGGTAAAAATAACCAAAAGTCGAATACTTCATAATATTACAAGGGCATACAGGGATTAAAAGTGGTATATTATAAACAATCAAATTTAAAACATCCAAAATTCCCTTTGTATGACTCAATACTAGTGACGGGAAAAAAAATGAACCTTATAGACACATTTGAACTTTATAATCTAATAATACTTAAATATCTATGGATATATTAAATATTGAATTATAGAATATTAACCGTATCTTAGCTATATTTTATGCTAAAATTCTGTAGTTGGTTTCTAAAAGTACTTCAAAATTAGGAAAAAGTCAAAACAATTCTGAAAATTTGAACATCCCCATATTCCAAAACAACAAAAGAAGGGCCATGAAAAAGTAGAAAGAAAATAATCCCCCCGACCCCAGGGTCTTACTCTTGTCACCATGTGAAGTGGCGTAATAACGGCTCACTGCAGCCTCAATGTCCTGAGCGCAGGTAATTCTCCCACCTCAGCCCCCTGAGGAGTTGGAACTGCAGGCATGTGTGTCCACGCTCAGCTAATTTTTGTATGTTTTTTGTAGAGACAGGGTTTTTCCATGTTGCCCAGGCTGGTACAGAACTCCTGGGCTCAAGCTATCTGCCCGCCTCAGCCTTCCAAAGTGCTGGGATTATAGGCATGTACTACTGCGCCCAGCCAAAAACCTCATTTTTAACTAAAATTTATTATAGATAAAACAGGTAATCATCATATAAAACAATTAGTTTAGAATATGTGGTTTTTTTTTTTCAAGATTTAACTTCAGAACACACTGTATAACACTCTGTATAACTCTGTATATAAATGTTGATGGCTGATGATTCAACTTTTAATATTTTAATTCTATAAAGTTATGTTGTAAACTCAAGTAAGGAAGTCTAATGTAGAGCCCAAAGCCCTCAAATGTTAAAAAAATCGAGGTTATTTTTTAGCCACCACACTTGGTTCTTTTTTTTTTTTATTATTAACTTTTTCCAGAGATGGGGTCTCACTGTGTTGCCCAAGCTGGTCTTGAACTCCTGGCCTCACGCAATCCTCCTGCTTTGGCCTTCAAAAGTGCTAGGATTGTAAGTGTGACCCACTGTGTCTGGAATTGATCTAGGTTCTTCCTGCTAAAATTTTATAAAGTTTGGAGCAGATTCTTTAACTACCCTAGGTCTCTATTTTTCTGTAAAATGATGCTTCATTTTCAAAGTCTCTTAATAGTTTCTGTCAACATTTTCTATAAAAAAAAGTCGAAGGAGATTAAACCTAGAAATAGGTAATACTTCATCTAAGAAGTTCAACATCGCTGGAGAGACCTCAGAATAAACATGTACTTCTGAAAACCAAAACTGACTCACTCTTATTTGGAGCTCTCAGTTGGAACATGTCTCTTACATCTGCCTTAGGTTACTCCACAGCCTTCATAAAGCAGCTAAGGAATCAGTGTAAACTCCAACCCCACGTTACTATTTTGATATATAGTAATTTCTGCTCCAAAACACTGTTAAGTAAAAAGGAACAGTGGTTCACTATCAAAACTTGTGGCCAGGCGCGATGGGTCATGCCTGTAATCTCAGCACTTTGGGAGTCTGAGGCAGGCAGATCGCTTGAGGCCAGGAGTTTGAGACCAGTCTTGCCAACATGGCAAAACCCCATCTCTACTAAAAATACAAACTTAGCCAGGCATGGTGGTGCGCACCTGTAGTCCCAGCTATTCCTGAGGCTGAGTATGAGAATCGCTTGAACCTGGGTGGCGGAGGTTGTGGTGAGCTGGGATCGTGCCACTGCACTCCAGCCTGGGTGACAGAGCAAGACTCTGTCTCAACAAATATATACAAAAAAAAAGTAAACAAAACAAAACATTTGTGTGTGCACACGTGCATGCAGAGGCTGGGGAAACTGGCAAATGGAGGACTGAAATGATTATCCATTCTTCCCGTTTTAATCCCTGGATAGCATGCCTCAAGTTTCCTCACTGACTCTAACAGCATTTATGAGTTTTGCTTAAGTATTTGTTTAAAAAAAAAAAAACTGTCCTGTTATGTTTTATTGTATGAGCATACTGAAATAAAAATTATGTAGTTTGCAAGATACACAGTTAATGCTTACTGTTTACAGATAGTAGGCTTTAAATGCCACTGTCCTATTTCTGAATTGCAGCTGTCATCAGCAAGGAATCCATCATCACTGCTATCATCCTATAAGAGACAGCCTACTGTTAATATTGAAAATATATAATCTAAATAACTAATAACCTAACAAAATAGCACATTGGAGACAAAATATTTGTAATGAATGTCAAAAATTTTTCTCTATTTAGGTGATTAGACAATAGAGATATATGTTACTTAGTTCCAATTATCTAATGCTACAACATTGATATTTTAAGGAAAAGAAACTACCAAAGGTTTATAACAAATTGTTACATCTATTTACTCAATCTAGAATAAATCTTTAAGATTGAATATATTATGACCGATTCTTATCTCACCAAATATCACTGCTCTGATTTTAGTTTATTTTTACAAAAATTTAGTTTGTTGGCTAAGACAGCTATTTCACAATAGGATATAAATAACATGTTATTTTACATGAATAATGTTTTCACACCAGAAATATTTAAAGGGTTTTTGGAAACACTGTTTTCCTTGAGAAACCCACATAACCATCTCACTTGAGAGAAGCTAACTTAAGGACACTGCGTCCTTATTCTGCAGATTCTCTTGAATGTAAAATAAACAAGGCTTTTTTGGTCATTGTTGTTCTTTGAGAAAGCTTCTGGCAACTTTATGAATGGAATAATCAATAGTAGGAATAATAGTAATAATAAAGCACAGTTACATTAGCTTGTTCACATCACAGGTAACTGTTATAATCAAAAGTACCTAAGTGCTCATTATAAATCATGAATGTAATTCCTATATATGTTGGATTGAAAAGCTGTATTTAGCTGCCATACATTGTAAACCAAGAGATAGCATAACATGCCTTTTGTTCACAGGAAGATAAAGCAAAAGGAAAGATGGTACAGTATAAAGCCATCTTCACTACTATACAACTCAGTATGTCCTAACAACTAACGAAAGATCAGAGAATTAACAAAATGGTATGCTGTAGGATTATTATAAACTTTTCTCAATATAAGATCCTCTTTAACAGAAGCTAAAAAGTATTTTCACAGATACACTTTATTCTTGCTGTTAATACTGTTTATTAACAGTATTTAATAAGAGACTCTAAGGAAATGTCAAATGAGACTCTAAGGAAAAGTCAGAATTCATCTATATTAACTATAAATATTATCTGCTTCTGCCATGACATATATAAATTGAATCAGGCAGGAGAAAAAAAAAATCACTGGAAAAATGGGAAAACAATATAATTTTTTGGTACTCATGTACCACATAACTGAAGATTTAAACATTTGCTTCTTGAATGTCAAGTCAGGTTAAAGGTTAAGTATGACCCATAAATGCTTTGAAAGAGGAAAGTGGGTAGTGGTGGTGGTAGCTGAGTTAGGGTGGGATAATTAATATTATATTAAAGTTCCGTCCACACCACAGTAGCAGCAACAACAGCATGAATACATTTATCCTGGCAACTTCTGACTTGAAAGCTGAATTTGTTTTTTAAGATATGATCCAAATCCAGAAGCCATGATAAATTACTAGTTGAAGAAATTGCTTTACAAGACTTTATAAAGTACAATTTTTTTCTTTTTCTTTTTCTTTTTCTTTTCTTTTCTTTTTTTTTTTTTTTTAAAAGAGATGGAGCTTCCTTATGTTGCCCAGGCTGAACTCAAAACTCCTAGGCTCAAGAGATCTTTCTGCCTTAGCCTCCCAAGTCACTGGGACTACAGGTATGCACCGTCATGTTCAGCAAGAAAAACGTTTAATCAGATAGAACATTAGAACTTTTTGCCAAGCATTAAGTTTTACCTGGTTATCCTGATCTTCTGAGAAGTCAATGAGTTCATCTTCAAGCATTTTACCACCCTCAGGTGATTCATCGCTATAGTTTAGTCTGATATTGCTTAAGCCATCTGTACCAGTAAGAAACATTACATAATAAAAAAGGCCATGTCTATCACTCATGGTATATGAGGCTGAAATTAATGCTAGTAGTTAATTAAGGATATAGTAGTCAAGGACACAAAATCTGCCTTAGTCTGTAATATCACAAACATAAAGTGAGTTATTTTAAAAACCTGGATTGACATGTCAATTACAGTTGTTTCCACTACTCAGATGCTAAAATTCATTAAAATTTAAAAACTAAGTATCAGCTATATGATTAAGTATATATATACTTAAATACATATATATGTATATGTGTAAAGAAGTAAGTACTTTTGTGCTAGGCAAGTCAGGTGTCTTTAGTAATGAAAGCTATGACAGTCTGAAAATAACCTATGTCCAATAACAGAAACAGCAAATCACAGAACATAAAAGAAAATGCAACTGCATAATAATTAAAATTTCGAAAATGTGGAAAATTATACAATTCAGGGCAAAAATGAACACTAATTACAAGTAAGTAATAGGTCTGTTTTTAGACAAATAATAAGGAACTATTTTGCCGAAAGAAGCTAATCACATGTTTCAAAGAAATGTTAAGATTTACTACCATTTCAAAATTTCATTTTACTTATTTATTTTTTATTTTTTTGAGACGGAGTCTTGCTGTTGCCCAGGCTGGAGGGCAGTGGCACAATCTCGGCTCACTGCAACCTCTGCCTTCCGGGTTCAAGTGATTCTCCTGCCTCAGCCTACTGAGTAGCTGGGATTACAGGGGCATACCACCATGCCTGGCATCTTTTTTCTTTTTGAGTCTTGCTCATTGCCCAGGCTGGAGTGCAGTGGCGTAATCTCGGCTCACTGCAAGCTCTGCTTCCCAGGTTCACGCCATTCTCCTGCCTCAGTCTCCCGAGTAGCTGGGACTACAGGCGCCTGCTACCACGCCCAGCTCCTTTTTTGTCTTTTTAGTAGAGACAGGGTTTCACCGTGTTAGCCAGGATGGTCTGGATCTCCTGATCTCGTGATCCACCCGCCTAGGCCTCCCAAAGTGCTGGGATTACAGGCGTGAGCCACTGCGCCTGGCCACATTTTTGTATTTTTAGTAGAGATGGGGTTTTGCCATGTTGACCAGGCTGGTCTTGAGCTCCTGTCCTCAAGTGATCCACCTGCCTTGGCCTCCCAAAGTGTTGGGATTACAGGCATGAGCCACCATGCCTGGCCTTATTTTTTTAAGAGACAGGATTTCTCTCACTCTTTTGACCAGGTGGAGTCCAGTGATGCAATCATAACTCACTGTAACCTTAATCTCCCAGGCTCAAGCCATCATCCTGCTTTGGCCTCCCAGAGTGCTGGGATTACAGGTGCACACCACTATGCCCAGCTGATTTTTATTTATTTATTTTCCTTTCAAAAATTTGAAAAGCATGACTCTTAGGTATTTTAGACAGGATAAAATTAATTTTGGTTTAAGTTACTAAAAAGGTGTTAAGATATTAATATAAACAAGATGGGATGAAAAGGAAGCAAAAAATCTGAAAAGATATATAATCCAGACTGGCTAACACAGTGAAACCCTATCTCTACTAAAAAATACAAAAACTAGCCGGGTATGGTGGCATGCACTTGTAATCCCAGCTACTCGGGAGGCTGAGACAGGAGAATTGCTTGAACCTGGGATACAGAGGTTGCAGTAAGCCAAGATCGCACCACTGTACTCCGATCTCAGTGATAGAGCGAGACTCTGTCTCAGAAAAAGAGAAAAGATATATATCTAACTGTTGTGTTCAGAAGCATACTATTTAAAATAGCCAATAAATCAATAAAGCACCATGGGGCCAGACACAGTGGCCTAGCACCTGTAATCCCAGCTAGCACTTCGAGAGGCTGAGGCAGGAGGATCACTTGAGTTCAGAAGGATCACCTGGGCAACACAGTGAGACCCTGTCTCTACAAACAAAATAAAATAATCATACAGGTGTAGTGGTGTGCACCTGTGGTCCCAGTCACTCAGGAAACTGAAGTGGGAGGATCACTTGAACATGGGAGGTTGAGATTACGGTGAACTGTGATTGCATCGCTGTACTCTTAACTGTATGAAAGTGAGACTCTGTCTCGAAAAACAACAAAAATCCACCACCACAACAAAAAAACCACTATGGGCTGAGGGCAGTGACTCACATCTGTAACCCCAACACTTTGGGAGGCTGAGATGGATGGATTGCTTTAACACAGAAGTTTGAGACCAGCCTGGGCAACATAGGGAGCCCCTGTCTCTACAGAAAATAAATTTTGCCGGGCAGGTGACACATGCCTATAGTCCCAGCTGCTCGGGGGGTTGAGTTGGGAGGATTGCTTGAGTCCAGGAGGTAGGGGCTTCAGTGAGCTGTGACTGTGCCACTGCATTCCAGCCTGGGCAACAGAGTGACACTCTGTCTTTAAAAAAAAAAAAAAAAAGAAAGAAAGAAAAAAGAAAAAAAAGAATTACCTCTTCAATTTATCTTTTCCAAAAATCTGTATTTTTAAGTCTGTTTAAAGCTAAAACACCTGTATCTGAATAACATTTGTCCAAAATCTTCAGGCAATTCAGAATTAGTTACAATCGGGTTACTTCTAGCAGCAAATCATTATTATCTATGTAAACTGTGGTCACATAAATATCTATCTACCTTAAACTAAACTACGAATGCCTTTCAAAAACAGGAGAAAAATAGCTTAAATGATGCAGTCAATTCCCTCCATAAACAAATGATCTGGAGTAAACTGAGAGGTGATGACTTGATCAGTGGTCCTCTCAATCAGTGTCAGTTCCTGAGAACTTCTCATATAATGAGACCATGTGAAGATGCTGAGCGTGATTCCAGAGTTTAAGCGTACACATATTTCATGCACCATGGCAAGCCAACTATTTCACAAGGTGTCAAGTGAAAAATCAGCAAGTGAAAGTAGTGATTCCAACACATTGTTACTTCCCTAGTTTACTGTAAAAACCTAATTTCCACTTATTTACTACAGCCTGTTATCTGACATAGTCAACACTTGTTGACTATATGTGAAATCATTGTTTTTTGTAAAACATTTGTTTCAGAGGAAGAGATAGCTGATATTGTATACAGATACTAAAAACAAAACAAAAATGTACAAAGTATAATTCAAAAATGAGTAAATGGGATAAACAAGTATTAAGAAGGCAAACTACATAAAACAAGTTATTTTTGGCTTTGGTCTCCATTAGGAGTTTTGAGGCTATTTACTCAAATTTAACTGGATGTTACTTGACCAGAAAATCAATTTGTAGGTGAGAGCACTAGAAATCTCTGGAGTTGGTGTATATGAAGTCCTAGGCTTTTGTCCCATTGCTTTAAGTCAAGCACCTTAATTCATCTGAATTTACATTAAAGTATGTAAGATTATTGGCCAAAAGGAGACTTAAAAAAAGAGCCATACTAAAATTTAATTCACATACCATATACACCCATTTAAAGTATACAATCTAATATTTTTTAGTATATGCACAGTCATCACAACCAATTTTTAAACCTTTTCATCATCTCAAAAAGAAACCCCATACCACTTAGCTATCACTCTCTTCCTAAATTCCCACCCACCTCACCTGACCACCCCCAAAAGCCCCAAGCAGCCACTAATCTACTCTAGATTTTCCTGCTCAGGAGATTTCTTACAAGAGCTCAACAGGTCGGGTGAGGTGGCACGCACCTCTAATCCCAGCTACTAGGGAGGCCGAGAAGACAATCACTTGAACCTGGGAAGGGGAGGTTGCAGTGAGCCAAGATTGTGCCACTGCACTCCAGCATGGGCGACTAAGAGAGACTCCATCTCAAAAAAAAAAAAAAAAAAAAAAAAGGCTTAACAATAGCTTTCTAACTCACTAAAATAATATAAGCTGGTATAAGTGCCAAGAGTATGTTCCATATTCACAATTTTTGATAGGTTCTTTCTGAATTTACATAATTTATTCTATGTCCTATACCAATATTTTTCATCCAAAGAAAATTCATTAGTTCCATGAGCAAGGTGTTAGGAAAAAAAGAAGAAAAATGTATTAGATCTATTCACAGTTTAAGAAGTTTGCAAGGCACACAATATAGCATGTTATGGGTTTTTATGGCGAGGACTATTTTACTTGTAGGTTGGAGAGGAAATTATACAATTGACTTGATATCAAATTTAAGAATGTGAACAGAAACTAGCTTTTTATTTATGTATTTACTTTTGAGATGGAGTCTCGCTGTTGCCCAGCCTGAAGTGCAGTAGCACAATCTCAATTCACTGCAACCTCCACCCCTGGGTTCAAGTGATTCTCCTGCCTCAGCCTCCTGAGTAGCTGGGATTACAGGCGCGTGCCACCATACCCAGCTAATTTTTGTATCTTTAGTAGAGATGGGGTTTTACCACATTGGTCAGGCTGGTCTCAAACTCCTGACCTGGCGATCCACCCGCCTTGGCCTCCCAAAGTGCTGGATTTAACCACACCTGGCCACAACTAGATTTAACAGGTTCTACAACTACAGAACTGACTCAAGGACAAAAATCAATATATTAGAGCTGAAGAGAGATTTAAACAAGCAGAGATTGGACCAGTGCTCCTCTTCCCACTGAAAACAGTGAAGGAGAGTGAGGAATGAAGAACCAAACTTTAATTGGAATGTCCACAATTATTTTGAGGAGAAAACTTTAATTTCTGCCTTGGTCCATTTGATCTCAATTTACACATTGGTAAATTTGTCTTATACATCTAAGACTGCACAATTACTGTTAATGCTGAATACTGTAAATTTCCTATGAAATTAAATCTAAGTTCCAATAAATGGAAAATATAAACTTTGTTCTACAATTTCAAAATTGCACTCTAGGGGTGACAGAAGAAACAGAATACAAAAAGGGCACAAGGGGATTTTTTTTTGGAGTGATGAAAAGTTCTCAATTTTTTTGTTTTTTTATTTTGAGATGGGGTTTCCCTCTGTCACCCGGGCTGGAGTGCAATGGCGCGATCTCCACTCACTGCAACTTCAGCCCCCTGAGCTCAAGCGACCCTCCCTCCTCAACCTCTCAAGTAGCTGGGACCAGAGATGTGCACCACCATGTCTGGCTAAGTTTTTGTATTTTTGGTAGAGACAGGGCTTCACCATGTTGCCCAGGCTAGTTTCAAACTTCTGAGCTCAAGTAATCTGCCAATCTTGGCCCCTCAAAGGGCTGGGATTACAGGTGTGAGCCACTGTGCCCTGGTCAGGTTCTCAATTTTGACTGCAGTAGTGATTACATGACGCTATATATACATTTATCAAAGTTCATTAAGCTACACTCATAAAATGAGTGAATGTTATAATTACACTTCAGTATAAATTAAAAGTAAGTTGTGTTACTATATTGTTATAAGTAAATTCTTTAAAAATTTTCTATTTATTTTTTTTTTTTTGGAGATGGGGTCTCGCTATGTCGCCCAGGCTGGTCTCAAACTCCTGGCTTCAAGTGATCCTCCCACCTTGGCCTCCCAAAGTGCTGGGATTATAAGTGTGAGCCACCACACCCAGCCATTAACCTGATTTTTTTTTTAAAACAGGATCTTAATCCTGTTTATTAAAAAATCCAGATTATTCTGAATTTTTTCATTCTTTCAAAGCATTTAGATACGTACCTGTATGATGCGTGGAACTGAAACCTTCATTCTGTAGGCCATTCTCACTTTTAGTCCTATCAGCAACTTTCTGGGATGTAGATTCTCCTTTATTCAATTCTTCATTTTCACTCGCAGTATGATTTATTTTTTTCACACTATATTTTACACTGCATATGTTTCTCTTGTAACGAGGGTCACTTTCTTCCTGCCCAGGATTGGAATCAGTTACAGCTATGCAATGTTTTTTGTTTAGCATCTTCTTAATTACAGGCTTGGCAGAAGAGTTTTGTGAATAACTGTCCATTTCACTGGCTGAAGAAGAAATACAACTGTCTTCTACAGTTGAACATTTCTGTATGACAGCATTTTCATGGTAATGAGGATTAGGTTCATACTTTGGTTTTTCCAAACCGGGGAAACAGACAACAGCCAAAAACCAGTGTGCACTGTAAAAAACAAATGAAATAACTAAATATGTTATTAGAAAAGTTTATTATATTTGGCAATACATATCAATTAAAATGTTTTTTTTTAAAGTTCTTGCCAATGAATTTATTAAAAATGTCTAATTCTGGCCGTGGGGTAGCTCACGCCTGTAATCCCAGCACTTTGGGAGGCTGAGACAGATGGATCACTTGAGGTCAGGAGTTCGAGACCAGTCTGGCCAACATGGTGAAACCCTGTCTCTACTAAAATGCTACTCAGTAGGCTGAGGCAGGAGAATCACTTGAACCCAGGAGGCAGAGGTTGCAGTACGCTAAGATTGTGCCACTGCACTCCAGCTGGGAGGTGACAAAGCAAGACTCCATCTCAAAAAAAAAAAACAAAACAAAACCTTATTTTAAAAAAATTCTCAAATTAATCTTGTTTTATGTGATCATTGATTCAGTAACAGAATACAATGTCTATTCAAAAATAACATAGTTTGTATTAAAATTATGTAGCCTGTATTTACTTTTGCAAACAATCCCTGAACCTTTTCTTGTTTTTTGAATGAAAAATTCATTGCTTTTTCTGGCAAGTATGTCATTTTGCAACTCATCATTCCCCTTTGCCTTCTCTTTATGTAAAAAGATGGAAAAAGATTAAACTATCGGTCAGGGGCGGTGGCTCACGCCTGTAATCCTAGCACTTTGGGAGGCCGAGGAGGAGGGATTGCCTGAATTCAGGACTGAATTCAGGAGTTTGAGAACAGCCTGGGCAACACGGTGAAACCGCGTCTCTACTAAAATACAAAAAATTAGCTGGGCGTGGCAGTGTGCACCTGTAGTCCCAGCTACTCGGGAGGCTGAGGCAGGAGAACTGCTTGAACCCGGAAGGCAGAGGTTGCAGTGAGCCAAGATTGTGCCACTGCACTCCACCCTGGGCGACAGAGTGAGACTCCATCTCAAAAAAAAAAAAAAAAAAAAAGATTAAACTGTCTTCAGCAGTCTAATTAGGTTATATGATTTTCAACATTTTCTAAGAATTGCATATATAGTTTTGTTCTTTTTACTGTTACTGTGTGTTATTAAGATAGGAAAGGCTTAATATCAAAATACGTATATAAGTAATGTTTTATCTTATGCTATGTTGAAATTTAATAAGTTAAAAATAAATAACATATCTAATTTAGTCCTTGTACAAAAATTTAAGTATTAGTAGACAGTTCCAGCTATCAAGCAGTGCTTATGATGCAGCTGAATTCAGGTATCAATGTTCCCAACAGTAGAGTACAGGACACAAGAAGCTGTACAGTACTGGCTAACATTCATTTTTTGCTAGACACAGGGCTCTCTTGGGATACAAGGAATAGGCTATAGATGTCAGGAAGCTTATTGGTCAAGTACAATAATGTTTGTCCTATGATAGGGTTTTCAATAAATATTTGCTGGATGAAAAACAAATTATCTTGCCATGGATAAAAATTATTCCACATTCTCATTTTTGCAAAAGATTAGAGTACCCAAGGCAGTAATAAGAAACAGCACTATCTATCTCTTCATCGAACAGTATCCAGTAGAAATGGCTGTCATAGGCTGGCTGGCTTCATCTTCAGTATTGCGAAGGCCAGATGGATGAACACTCGCTTCTCTCCTGTTCTTCGTTATTAATCCTTAGTACCCTATGGATTTAGATCAGGCTAACGCACCAACCTCCTCATTTCATCATTTCTAACACATAGCTAATTTTATTTATAAAGTCACATCTCAACTTCAGACATGTTGCAACGAAAAAAAAATGTGTTTTAAAAATTGATGCCGGATATGGTGGCTCACACCTGTAATCCCAACACTTTGGGAGGCTGAGGCAGGTGAATCGCTTGAGTTCAGGAGTTGGAGACTGGCCTGGGCAACGTGGCAAAACCCTGTTTCTACCAAAAACACAAAATATTAGCTGGGTGTGATGGCACGTGCCTGTGGTCCAAGCTACTGGGGTTGGGGGCTGAGGTGGGAGGATAGTTTGAGCCTGGGAGGCGGAGGTTGTAGTGAGCCAATATGGTGCCACTGCACTCCAGCGTGGGAGAGAGAGTGAAACCCCATCTCAAAATAAATAAAATAAAATTGATGAAATACAGTGTAATACAGTGACTCTCAACCTACTGCTGTAATAAAGCCTATCACAGTTCTTAACATTTCTTAGCTATGCCAATATGGCTAAGCTACAAATTTCCTCACCTAAAAACTAGGAAAAATCCTTTTTGGCCTAAAAGAGAAAGCTGAATCAGACCATTACTTCCAACAATTACTTCCTTTAAGCCAGGGTTTTGCTTTTATGATTCCTTTTAATAATAGCTACATTAACTTTAACAGCAGGAGAGACGCTAACACAGACTTTTGGCCAGGCGCAGTGGCTCACGCCTGTAATCCTGGTGCTATGGGAGGCTGAGGTGGGGGAACTGCTTGAGGCCAGAAGTTTGAGACCAGTCTGGGCAACATAGCTAGACCCCATCTCTAAAAAAAATTAAAAAAAAAAAAAATTAGCTGGGCCTATGGCACACACCTGTAGTTCTAGCTACTTGGGAGGCTGAGACAGGAGGATCGCTTAAGCCTAAGAGTTTGAAGCTTCAGTGAGCTATGATTGCACCACTGTACTCCAGCCTGGGCAACAGAATGAGACTCTGTCTCTAAAAAAAAAAAACAAAACAAAATACCCAGGCAATTTCACTTAAGATGGATTAGACCCATACATCAAATTTGTGTTCCTGGAAATTACTATAACAATTTTTAATAAACAGCTTAGAAACTTAAGAAAAAAATTGGGCCAGGTACAGTGGCACATGCCTGTAATTCCAGCACTTTGAGAGGATAAGGCAGGTGGATTGCTTGGGCTCTGGAGTTTGAGACCAGTCTGGGCAGCATGGCAAAACCCCATCCTCTAAAAAAAACACAAAAATTAGCCAGGCGTGGTAGCATGTACCTATAGTCCCAGCTACTCAGGAGGCTGAGGATAGAGGATCGCTTAAGCCTGGGAGGTTGAGGCTGCACTAAACTGACATCATGCTACTACATTCCAGTCTGGATGACACAGAGAGACTCTATCACGGGAAAAAAAAAAAAAAAAAAAGAAAGAAAAAAAAATTGGTACCACCAGAAAAAATAAAAACAAAACAGATGACAAATATATGGCAGCCAATCTAACATAATTAATGCATAAGTATTTGAAAAAAAAAAAAAAGCAAAAACAAAAACAAGCTCTCTTGATTTATAGGCTATTTTTTAATCTATAAATGGTAGAGTCCTCTTACAGAGTTCATTCTCTACCTCTCACTAAGATGACTGGAAGCACTGATAATAACTTCCATGCACAGGTATAGTGATTAAGAGGGATGTGCCTCTATCCCTAAATCTTGTGTAATCAAATTATATTTCTATTTAAAATGTTTATAATTCATTTCTGACAAATGGCTTTCCTCCCTTTCACTTAGTAAGCTGTTCACACGTTACTTTACAAGACAAATTTGTACCCAGTCAAGAAACCTCTTTTCATTCTTTCTTTTTGAGATGGAGTCTCACTCTGCTGCCCAGGCTGGAGTGCAGAGGCATGATCTTGGCTCACTGCAACTTCTGCCTCCCGGGTTCAGGCGATCCTTCTGCCTCAGCCTCCTGAGTACCTGGGATGACAGGCACACACCACCATGCCCAGCTAATTTTTGTATTTTCAGTAGAGACACAGGTTTCACCATGTTGGCCAACCTGGTCTTGAATCCCTGACCTCAAGTACTCTGCCCCCTTGGCCTCCCAAAGTGCTGGGATTATAGGCGTGAGCCACCACACCGAGCCAAAACCTTATTTTGAAAAGAATGAAGAAATCAACTAGTTTTAAATGTTTTAAATTTTACTATGATAATATGAATTTAAAAATATATAGCTCTGCCAGGAGCAGTGGCTCATGTCTATAATCCCAGCTATTTGGGAGCCTGAGGTGGGGGGGATGGCTTGAGGCCAAGAGTTCAAGACCAGCCTGAGCAACACAGTGAGATACCCACCTCTACAAAAGTAAAAAAAAAAAAAAAAAAAAATTCGGAAGCTAGCTTGGCACAGCTAGACTTATTATACATAAACAATCTCATAGAATACCAACTCCAGGAAAGCATATTCTGCAACCATGATAGAGTGAGACAAAGTAGGGCCGTATCATAATTTGTCTAAGCAGAGAAAAATATAAGGTTACAGTTGGAAACCACAAAATAGTCAACATTCTTCTTCTTTATTAATAAGTGAATGCTACTTCTTTACCTAGGCAAACCACCACTACTTTAGACCGTCCCCCATTATCACCCAAGGAAAGCCCAGATGCTTTCACAGATTCTTTGAAACTCCCTTTTAATGAGAGGCTCCAGAGCTGCCCATGGTGTGTGTTATTCCTTGATGTAAGTAACAAACAAAGTTTTCCAACTACAAGTGTATTTCTGGTGGTCTTTGGATCGAGGGCATAGAAAAACAAAAGAACAAAATACAAAAAACTTTTAAGTCTTACTTGTAAAATAATACTATCTAGTCATTGTGAGAGAATAATATAAATATTTAAACACCTCCATTTACTCAGAAACTTCTTCAAGTAGTCCGCATGGTTTTTAATTGAAAAATGGCATAAATCCAACCATCATTTCTCCCTTCTGGTTAAAAACAGAAGTGTATTTTAAACTTAAGATTCCAACTCCTTTATGTGACCTAATCATCTTTTTGTAAAAATAATACTTTTCTATAGATTATTTGCTAGACAATAAGCACCACTTTTTTTAAAAAAAATAGTATTATTTGACATTAATGAATAAAATGAGATTAGAAAGGTATCTGGTCTACTGTCTGTAAAATTCAGTATCTTACATGATTCACTGTGAAACTGCATTAATTCTTGTAAAACAGGCAGTACAAATATGAATATATACAAGAGATTTCAGAAAGATGTTTTAAAATGAATTCTTCACCTCATACTAATTATTTAAAAATTGCCATCATTTACATAAAGGAAATCCTTACTCACGCTTCATTAAGGGGTACAAAAATAAAATCCTTCTCAAAAATATCTACATGCCGGGTCCATGTTTTTACTCTCCCATGTCGCTTTTGCTGTATTCTGTAAGAAAGAGATAAATTATAAGCTTCTGAAATATTTCTAGTGCTCCAGCTTATATGTAGTGATTTATAAATTAAGAAGATTCAGATGTAATAGCTCAAACAGTTGCATAAAATGGTTTGACAAACTGGCGAAAGAAAATAGAACTTGTTGAATTGAAACTAGGAAGGCATGGGACTACCCACTGTTGAATTTGGAGAAAGATATTTTACTCCTGTTACTCCATCTGAGGGGCGAAGTTCTAGTGCTTATCTTGCCTAGACTTCTCTTTACTATTTTTATTACTGCAGAATTGGTACTGGCAACTATATTGAGAGGTGTAGCCAAGTAAAACTTAGGGTAACTGGGGAGAAAACAGTAGGAAAAGTGAGCATTATCTGATGGTAGATGAAGCAATATGGCTACGAGCACTGGTCAAAACCAATGACTATTATCAACTCTAAGAGGCAACATTAGGAATTGCTGAAATAAGAGAAAATATTATTTATTATTATTTATTATCATGCATAGCAGCCATCAATTCAAGACATCTAAGACTAGTTTTAAATTTAAAAATCTACCAATTCTTAAGTGTATCTTCTGATCAATTACCAGCAAATTATCAGAGCTAGATGCCATCACTATATGGAGAAGAATTATAAAGAAAATAGGTGGGCATGGTGGCTCACACCTGAAATCCCAGTACTTTGGGAGGCAGAGGCGAGCAGATTCCTTGAGCCCAGGAGTTTGAAACCAGCCTGGGAAACATGGTGAAACTCTGTCTCTACAAAAAATACAAAAATTAGCTGGGTAGGGTGGCATGTGTCTTAGTCCCAGCTACTTGAGAGGCTGAGGTGGAAGGATCACTTGAGAGTGAGAGGTGGAGGTTGCAGTAAGACAAGATTATACCAATGCCCTCCAGCCTGGGTGACAGAGTGAGACCCTGTCTTGAAAAAAAAACAAATCAGGCCTACTATGTACAATAGTACTTCCTTAATTTGTCTGAGAAGAATCACCCAAAGAGCTTATTAAGAGTATAGATTCACAGGTTCCTTTCTATTATGGATAAACACCTAGGATAAAACAGAGTAATCTGTAGTTAGTAAGTATCTAAGTATTTAAAAAAAAAACCTATTAGTCACATCTGGGAAACACTATTCTACATATTTGACCTAGAACATTTATAAATTCTAGGTATTCTGAAAGTATTAGAATGTTATGAATTATATTAATTTTGTAAACTGATAAGAGAAGTAAATGATATTGCCTCAATATAAATAAGTTGTTAAAAAAAATTCCAAAACTAGCACAAAGTTAGTCTAAGGCAGGTGAATATGAACCCATGAAGCATGAAAATGGAACTGACTTATTTAGTGTGTTCTTTTCCTGGCTGGAGAATTTAAAAAGTAAGCAAAAGAATTGCAGAGATTTGTGTTTTCTTTCAAGTACGTGATTTTTTACTTAGTTAAATTTGAGTGACTTACATCTGTTAAATATTTTCAGAATTTGACTTACGACAGATTAGTTGTTTCATGATTTCTCCTCTCTCTCTGATTAAGGCGTTTATAGAAAAAAGAACTGAATATATGAATTCGGTCAGCGTCCTCCTTCTTCAGTTTTTCAAGCACCAAATATCTATTTGATACAAAATAATTCAAATATAATTAGTGTAACAGTTCACTTTATTTACTTATTTATTTATTTCTATTTTTTTGAGACGGAGTCTCGCTCTGTTGCCCAGGCTGGAGTGCAGTGGTGCGGATCTCAACTCACTGCAACCTCCACATCCTGGATTTAAGTGATTCTCCTGCTTCAGCTTCCCAAGTAGCTGGGATTACAGGCACACACCACCATGCCTAGCTAATTTTTGTATTTTAGTAGAGATGGGGTTTCACCATGTTGGTCAGGCGGGTCTCAAACTCCTGACCTCAAGTAATCTGCCCGCCTCAGCCTCCCAAAGTGCTGGGATTACAGGCGTGAGTCATTGTGCACAGCCACAGTTTGCTTTATATTAAAAACTCAGTAAATCTTTCTTCTTTAGAACCATCAATCTCTCTTCTTTAGAACCAAGGAAATTATTAGCAAAGTTTGATAACTATCAGATTATCTTCAGGCAATTAAAATTACTATTTGAAAATAAAATTATAAACATTTAATGTTTTAAAACAAGGACACATTCTATGCAGCGAGCTGAAATTGAGCCAATGCACTCCAGCCTGAGCAACAAAGTGAGACTGTCACACACAAAAAAACCAAAAATCTTGTTAGGCTGAGCACGATGGCTCATGCCTGTAATGTCAGCACTTTGGGAGGCTGAGGTGGGCAGATCACCTGAGGCTGGAAGTTCGAGACCAGCCTGGCCAATACGATGAAACTCTGTCTCTACTAAAATACAAAAAATTAGCCGGGCGTGGTGGCGAGTGCCTATAATCCCAGCTACTTGGGAGACTGAGGCGGGAGAATCACTTGAACCTGTGAGGCAGAGGTTGCAGGGAGCCAAAATCACGCCACTACACTCTAGCCTGGGCATGACAGAGCAAGACTTGGTCTCAAAAAAATAAAAATAAACTTAAAAAAACCAAGGGCACACTCTAAATCTAGAGTAAAGCATATGTCCCCACATCATTCATAATAGCCCAAAAGCATAAGAAAAATGCTCACTGACAAATGGAAAAATAAAGTGTTACATTTATACAATCAAAAATTTGAAATAGAAATGAAGTGCTAATACATATGATATCATAGAAAATCCTTGAAAACATGCTAACTGAAAGAAGCTACTCATAAAAACCACATATTTTATGGTTCTATTTATACAAAATGTCCAGAATACAAAAAGCCAGAGATAGTGAAAAGACTGACAGTTGCATAGGGCTGGAGGAGGGATTGGAAGAAAACAGAGATTGCTAATGGGTACTAGGCTTCTTTACGGAGCAATGAAACACACTGAATTGTATACTTTAAATGGGTGAATTGTATGTTATATGTATTATATCTGAATAAAAGTGTTATGTATTGTTTATTTCATTTTAAACAGTTCAGTTAATAAACAATGAAGAACCAGCAGCATAGTATTTTTTATGAAAATAGAAAATAAAGAGAAAGAACTTGTACAATGGTGAGGTGGTAACAATGACTCTGTAAAGTGATCTTCCATTGGCTCTAATTTTTTTTGAGATAAGAGTTTCGCTCTTGTTGCCTAGGTAGGCTGCAGTGCAATGGCACGATCTCGGCTCACCACAACCTCCACCTCCCGGGTTCAAGCAATTCTCTTGTCTCAGCCTCCTGAGTAGCTGAGATTACATGCATGCACCATCATGCCAGGCTAATTTTGTATTTTTAGTAGAGATGGGGTTTCTCCATATTGGTCAGGTTGGTCTTGAACTCCCGACCTCAGGTGATCCACCTGCCTTGGCCTCCCAAGGTGCTGGGATTACAGGTGTGAGCCACTGCGCCTGGCCTGGTTCTAATTTTTTATTGCCTTAGTTATTTTTTAAACATCTATATCAAAACAAATAACAATAGTCATTTATATCACAAAGAGAAATTATGATATATTAAATTTATGATCCAAACTTTCTCATAGGACTTATGCCAGTTCAAGCTTATGACCATATTAATATTATGAAAATGAGGACAATCTGAAAGCCTTGTGAAATCTTACACAGAAAGAGCAATGCTTAAAACATCTGGCCCCCAGAGGGCACATTCTTGAGACCTGTTACTTTCATCACTAATAAGCAAAAATTCCATAGCTCAAGTTTTAATGAAAAGGACATAATTTAAAAGATTTCTTGCTTTCAGGCAACTCAGTGTGCCCCTAAAGAAGATAATACAAGACAGTGAATCAGATCAAGACATAGTTTACATTAATTACTGAATTCTACAATCTTCAAAACACACCATGTAGAGAAATAGCTATTAGTCCAGGGACTATACTGTAATGAGTGAACCATGAGACTTTTGCTGGCCCAAACTACAATGGCTACTTTGGGGTTGTTTTTTTTTCCCCCCTCAGACCGAGTCACACTCTGTCCCCCAGGCTGGAGTGCAGTGGCACAATCTTGGCTCACTGCAATCTCCGCTTCCAGGTTCAAGTGATTCTCCTGCCTCAGCCTCCTGAGCAGCTAGGACTACAGGCACCCGCCACCACACCCAGCTAATATCTGTATTTTTTTTTAGTAGAGGTCGGGTTTTACCATGTTGGCCAGGTTGGTCTTGAACTCTGTCCCTCAAATGACCCTCCCACCCTGGCCTCCCAAAGTGCTGGGTTTTAGGCGTGAGCCACTGTGCCTGGCCTACAATGGTTGTTTTACAAAACTGAATTGAATAAAGGGATATTCACCTTAAAAAAAGGAAATGTATTTGTGATTTAAGAAAACTGAGCTGGGCGTAGTGGCTCACTGCAGCCTCCACCTCCTGGGCTGAAGCCATCCTTCTACCTCTACCTCCAGAGTAGCTGGGACTACAGGCATACTCTACCACACCCAGCTAACTTTTGCTTTTCTTTTTTTGGGTAAACATGGGGTTTCGCCATGTTGCCCAGGCTGATCTTGAACTTCACCCTGGGTGACAGAGCGAGACTCTGTCTCAAAAAAACAAAAGACAAACAAACAAAAAATGAAACAAAAAAGATTTTAAGAGCCCGGGCGTGGTGGCTCACGCCTGTAATCCCAGCACTTTGGGAGGCTGAGGTAGGTGGATCACGAGGTCAGGAGATTGAGACCATCCTGGCTAACAAACCCTGTCTCTACTAAAAAAATACAAAAAAATTAGCCGGGCGTGGTGGCGGGCGCCTGTAGTCCCAGCTACTTGAGAGGCTGAGGCAGGAGAATAGCGTGAACCCGGGAGGCAGAGTTTGCAGTGAGCTGAGATCAGGCCACTGCACTCCAGCGTGGGCAACAGAGCGAGACTCTGTCTCAAAAAAAGAAAAAGAAAAAGAAAAAGAAAAGAAAAAAAAAGATTTTAAGGTTAGCCTCTCACGATATGAAAGAGACTCTGAACATAATTTTTATTAAAACAGTCCTCTTCTTCCCTACATTAACATTCCCCAGATGCAATGCCCTTCTATTCCTTATAATGTTGGCAAAGTTTGTTTCAAAGTTTCTTATTCAGAAAGTTAGAAATGGAGAAGAGTTGGCCAGGCGCGGTGGCTCACGCCTGTAATCCCAGCACTTTGGGAGGCTGAGGCGGGCGGATCACGAGGTCAGGAGATCGAGACCATCCTGGCTAAGGACAGAGCGAGACTCCGACTCAAAAAAAAAAAAAAAAGAAAGATCTTCATTTATGTTTGTCTCATGACATTTTTTTTTTTTTTTTTTTTTTTTTTTTTTTTGAGAAGGAGTCTGGCTCTGTGGCCCAGACGGAAGTACAGTGCCCGGATCTCAGCTCACTGCAAGCTCCGCCTTCCGGGTTTACGCCATTCTCCTGCCTCAGCCTCCCGAGTAGCTGGGAACACAGACGCCCGCCACCTCGCCCGGCTAGTTTTTGTATTTTTTAGTAGAGACGGGTTTCACCGTGTTAGCCCAGGATGGTCTCGATCTCCTGACCTCGTGATCCGCCCGTCTCGGCCTCCCAAAGTGCTGGGATTACAGGCTTGAGCCACCGCGCCCGGTCATGACATTCTTATAAGTGAATAAAGAGAAAAAAATTTTTTTAACTTCATTACTAATGAGTAACTGCCAAACCAGAGTTGCTTAACTCTTCTCCATGTCTTTTTTTTTTTTTTTTTTTTTGGCGGGGACCAGAGTTCTCGCTCTGTTCTCCCAGGCTGGAGTGTAGTTGGCGTGATCTCAGCTCACTGCAAGGCTCCACCTCCCGGGTTCCATGCCACTCTCCTCCCTCAGCCTTCTGAGTAGCTGGGACTACAGGCGCCACCCACGCCGGCCTGGGCTAATGTTTTGAAAGTTTTTAGTAGACACAGGGTTTCCCGTGTTAGCCAGGATGGTC